TGACGCTGTTGGGGATTTATTCAAAATTTAAGACACATTGAACCAGCATAGCTGCTACAGCATCATACAGCGACATGCCATCCCATCTGGTTTGCGTTTAGTTGGACCATAACTTTTTCTTTAACAGGACAATGACCCCAAACACACCTCCAGGATGTGTAAGGGCCATTTGACAAGAATGATGGAGTCCTGCACCAGATGGCCTGGTCTCCACAGTCACTTGACCTAAACCCAATCCAGATGGTTTGGGATGAGACGGAGCACAGAGTGAAGGCAAAAGGGCCAACAAGCACTCAGCATCTCTGGGAACTGCTTCAAGACTGTTGGAAAACCATTTCAGGTGACGACCTCATGAAGCTCATGGAGAGAATGCCAAGAGTGTGCAAAGCACAAAGATTAAAATAAATTATAAAACAAGCTTTGAGTAATTTCACACTTTTTTGTTTACTACATAATTTCACGTGTTCATTCATAGTTTTCATGCCTTCAGTGAGAATCTGCAATGTAAATAGTCATGAAAATAAAGAAAAACATTAAATGAGAACATGTGTTCAAACTTCTGAGTGGTAGTATATACATCTGTTTTTACTTTTTTATTTCCTCCTTTGTAGGCCACAGTTTTCAGGTGACCTTCCTGTGAAAAATGACAAAAACAAAATAAGTGAAATTCACACTGGAAACTGCCGGAACATTGATCAAATAAGTTCAGATTTTCTTTTTGACAAACCTTTATAAGTTTTCCCAGCGGCGTCCCCCCACATCGAATGCTCAGCTTCCAGTTCTTGTAGCTCTGCTTTCCTGCAAACCTCTCAAACTCACCTGGAGCAAACCACTGCTTATTAGCCAGAATGCACTTCTCTCCTAAGAGATGCAGAGGAGGAGGAATTCAAAGAAATGTTTTACACACACAACTTTAAATCTCAGTCATAAATGATCTCTTGTTATCTCCCAACTGCCGCTTTTTCTAGCTTGTACATTTTTCTATTATTTCACAGCTTTTGAACAAAGAACATGCAGCTACAGTAGACTGCAATGCAACAATGAAAAGACTTTGCTTATCTGACCTTTAGCCAGTTTGTCACGTTGTAGCGTTCCCGACACCTGTCCGCACGTCACAGGCAGCTGGGACTTGTAGAGGGGCCAGGTCCAAATTTCACCCTTCTCTCCCTTCTTCATGGGAGGAGCTGAGAAATACAAAATTTTATAAATGCCGATTCAAACATGCTGCAGTGTAGTCAATATACATGTTGTGGCTTTGGAAAAGACTTATGACCACATTCCCTCAGACATCTTGCAGTGAACGCTGCAGGTGTAGAAGCAAAAGGTTCTGTGGCCACTTGGGAGGTACCTTTCCATGGATTCAGGAGAATGATTGGAAGAACCAGAGGTCAAAGGACCTCAGTTCTTTGCAGGTGAAGTTCATCCACTGAAGGTTAATGTAGAGCTTGATTAATGTGGTATTCTCCACCTGCTATAACACTATTTACTCAGATGGAGTGGAGGAGCTGTAATGGTGTAGCTTTGTACAAAACATCAGAGAAGAGACAATTCCACTTCCAACATAAAGAGAAAGTAATGAACATATGGCAAGTTTTCACACAACTCTATGCAGTCCTGTGAATAACTCGAGCCCACAGTTCATTGAGGTTTGCGGACATTTGTTTATGCACAGCTGTCTTAATTTCCCACCACACCAACATTTCAATCACGTTGAGGTCTGGACTTTGACCAGTCCATCGCAACACCTTCATGCTCTGCTATTTTAGCCATTCTGTTGTATATTTGCTGCTGTGGTTGGGATCATTGTCATATTGCATGACCCAGTTTCAGCCAAGCTTTAACTGTCAGACAGATGGTCTCACATTTGACTCTAGGACACTTTGGTATACGAAGGAGTTCATGGTCGACTCAATAATGGCAAAGTCCAGGCCCAGGTCCACCAAATGATCATCCCGAAACTCACCACATACCAACTGTGATTGACAGCTGGTATGTGGTGAGTTTCGGTTTTCTCTAAATGTGCATTATGGTCAAACATCTCCATTTGGTCTGATTTGTCCAAATGACATTGTTCCAGAAGTCATGTATTTGTAACTTTTCGAACCTAAGTCATGCTGCCATGTTCTTTTTCAAGAGAAGAGGCTTTGTTTTTGGTTGGGTCTAGCCTGGGGTAGAACCAGGGTACTTTAACCCAGTGAGAGCTGCTAAAGGTTAGAGGATGAGAGATGTCTTTTTAACTGTATAACTCCTGTTGGCATATAGTCACGCTGAGAACAGTAAAGCATAAGTGAGGAGTAACTTACTGAAACATATTTTCTTGGACTTCTTCTGAGCCGAGGTAGACAGGCCTGATGGACCAGGCTGCTCATCCTGCTCACATATGCTCTTGCCATACTTCCTCTTCTTTTTCACTGAGTTTTCCTTCCTCGCCTCTTCTTCTGAATGTTCAGTTTTTTCCTTTTCACCGTTGTCTTCCGTTTCAACTTTCTCAGGCAATTGTGTGTCAAAATGGTAAGACCCTGAAATTACATTGAAGTCCAAGAACATAATAAATATCTAATAGAGGCCAAACAACTTCTAGGGGTCAATTTTAAAGTCTCAGTACATAGCTCGCCCACTTGCTAACAAGGTTTTATATAGTCTAAATTACAACATATTAGCTGTTACAAGATGAGTCTTCACGTAGACAGAGGTTCTCTTTGACTGGTTACAAGCCTATCAAATTATTTTTAGTCCTGCAAAGGCATTAATGCCACCACAAAACTCTCATCTTAAAGTAGATGAGGTATTATTCCGTTTAGATTTCTTTGGCCAATTCTTTGTTTTATCAATTAACTTGTCAGAGACACAAACATACTTATTATGCAGTCATTAAGAGCATCATGAAATAGAAATATCTTACCGTCCATGAGGCTTTTGCGCAGCATTTGCAGTTTGGGGTTCTGGCTCAGGACAGTTTCCTTGAAGGCACACTTCCAGAACAGTTTGATGTGCTCTGAGTTTTTTTCCTCGAACCAGTCCAGGATATCATAAAGGCCCTTCTCTTTTTTCTTCATTCGACTCACCTTCTGCACAAACAGTATCGAGAAAATTATTATTGAGCTGTTTAGCCTAGGATTCAGTAAGTAAATACCAAGATACTGTCCTTTTCACCAAGTGTCTATGATAGTAGATTTAGAAAAAACTGCCCCTCTAAAACAGAAGGTATGAAAAAAGTATGATGTTTATGTTTGCCACTCCAATAATGGTGATTGGATCGATTATATGAGATTATTTAGGAGAGGGCGTTTCCTTCTCTGAATAAGCTGGTGTTTTTTGCGTCACAATGGGGAACTATATTTACGTAAGGTGGAGTACTGTGCAAAAATTGTGACCCACCTTTCATTACTTTATATTTTATTTCCAAGGAGACGTCTTTCTTGTTTTTTTTAACCGGCCTTGATCAATAGTTTCAAAAATTATAAAGTTTTACTTTGGACATTGCCTCCTTTCTTGCCAATTTTCATTCCAGTCCTTGCATCTGACCTTTTTCAGAGGAATGCTTTTATTATTTGTTAAGCCACTTAACACTGACCCATGAATCATTCAAGCATAAAAAAAATCCACCTAACTCAAGGGATGAAGCAGAGTTATGTCTGTACACAACAGAAAACTTAGCAAAGAACTAATTTTAAATTGTGCTGTGCAATATGTCCTTAAAAGATTTGACAAAACTGACCAAGTGGAAGAAAATAAAGGAAGCAGCAGGTCTAAAGAACTATCTACAGCAGATGAACCTGAAAAACTGTAGTTTGGGAAAAAACATTTCAGTCAGTGGTGTTTGCAATCTTGCCAAAATTGATGGAATTACTATGGCTTCATTTTTCAGGATGACAATGATCCCGAACACACTGTCAGTGCAGTAAAAGCGTACCTGGATAGAAAAACACACAGTGGAACACTGTTAGTCGTGGATTGGCCTCCCCAGACCCTGGACGTCAACATTATTGATCATCTTGACCGTTATACTCAAGTGTATTTCCTTTTATATTTGCACATTCAAATAAATCTACAAACTTATTTCCCATTTTCCCCGCAAAATTTGGAAAAACGACGCGTGATTAAGACTTTTCCAGACTACAGATTTTATTTCATTTTAATCTGTTTTTAATAACTGGCTCTGGTTGTGAAAATGTCTTCTTTTTTAGTAAACAGCAGTGTGAGTTACAGGCGAATGTCAATTCGCAGTGTCTTGAGTAAATCCCAAAAAGCTGATTCTGTTCATTCAGTGTTGTCTCAGTCTCAGTCAGGCAAAGTTAGGCTACTAAGGTTGAGAAAACCTGCAGTCAGCTGAGACTGAAGATAAACAGAATCAGCTTTTTGGGGTCAGTTCGCCGTATTTCCCTTGTTTGAAATCGACGCTTCATGTGTACCAACAACTCTGATGTAATCATGTATCACTTCCGCTGTTCACTTCCCGCTCTCTCATTAACGTCCTGTTCAAATAGCACTCGCCTGAAATGACTGTAACGAGGTTGATAACAAATGCGTAACCTTTCCACTTGAGTTCCTCACCTTGAACCTGTCTTCCGGGATCAGGTTGTAATCCTTGAGCTTGCAGAGGAAGGTGACCGGGTTCTCCATGCAAGAAATTTCTGTTTTATTGCAGTGTAAAAAGCGCAGCATTTCCTCCAACTCCAGGAAATCCAGCGGATCCATCGATGGTCTGTTCTCCCAACTTTTCTACAAAACTGTGCCAGTTCCCAAGAGATCGCACTCACTTGTCATCCAGATGTGATATTAGAGCTGCAGCACAGAAATAAAGCGCTGCATTCGTGGACCTTGTGCCGTTTAACAGGTAATAATTAACTCCTCACAGGTCTCCTCACCCTGCTCCACCGTTTACATGCGCGCACAGTGAAACTCAATCCAAGTTTATGTAAAACAAAAAATCACAATGTTGAGTAGATGCAGACATAAGCGGAAGTTTTCCCTCTACGGGTCAAAGTGTCTGATCTGGGAAAGGCGAATACTGGTTTCTCGGTTCCTCCTCTCAGTGACGTTTGGAAAGTGAAACCTTTTTCAAGAGCTCTTCTGTCGGCTCACCAAAAACTGCAGACCGTGCGCCTTGCTGAGATTTATTAACCCCCCTATAAATTATAGCCATGCTTATTTTTAAAGTAGACCTGAGACTTACAGTCTGTGGGCGAAACAAATCAAACTCATTCCTGAGCGTCTGTCACGAAGAGACAAAAGGGGGATTCATTAAGGTCGCCCACAGTGAGTAACAGTACGAAATTCAACAGCCTCTTTGATAAAACAATGAGCATTACTGTCGTGGTTGTAAACAGCTCGGCCCAAATATGTTCAGTGCTTTCTGCGCTATGCGCGCTCCCGCTTGGGGCATTATTTCAGCAGGGAGACAGAAATGAGTATAACGTCATAGAGAGGAGAGCATTTCACTAGCACGGCTCCGGTCAGCGAAGTCGTCTGCGCAGAACATACGTCACTAATCTAGTGCAAAAACAGCACGAGGACATGTCACATTTTTTCTTTTCCAGTAACAACAACATAAAATAAATCAATAATTTCATAGCTGGTTTGTATTTGTATATGAAAATAATTCCTGCATGTATATCTTTAGTTTTTGTGATTATTTATACACAAGCGCTTCAAAGAATAACGCTTTTTTTTTGTCAAACTTAAAAGAAAGTCAAGTGAGTCAACACGAGAAAACGAATAAAAGCTGGTTGATAATCCCTTTGGAGATATAGGAACATTTTTTCACAGTGCTTGGACAAAGCTAACCACAGCATGACCACAGCACTCAGCTCCATTTGTTTATGAAGTAATTCAAGTCTTTTATTTTTGTAAATATTTCTGCATAATAAGATAAACGCCAGCTTACGAATAGCAGGTACTGATTGAATCAATGTTTTTAGTTTTTCACGGTGTGGTTTTGATTAAGGATACATGTCCTCTTTCATACTGATGCTTTTTAGGGGTTTTAATTTATATGTCTGGTGTTTGTTCCCTAGAGTGTCGACCATCTGCTCTTGTACCTCATGATGAACTCTCTGTCACACCTCTCCATGTTGTCACCTTTTGTCATTGTCTTCATAAACGCCTACATGCGAACCACTGCATACCTTCCCAGACTCACTTATTGTGTCTGTATGCTCGCCCAAAACAAATGTACAAATATCCGTATGTGCAGGTCATTTACTTTTTATGTTTATGTCATAACAAGAAAATAGATGAGATACTAATTATGCTATAGCCTATAGTCTGTTCTTCTTGGGCGACATTGCACATGTGTCTGTAATATTCGATCTAACTCATTTGCAAAGTTGAAATAAATAATTTGATGAAAAATATGACATTAATAATCTAAACAGAGATTTAGAGATCAGCTGTAGCGCACACTCAACCATAGAATACAGGCCTAATATTAATATTTGGCTATGCAAACACTTTTAACAGCAAACGGTTAAAATAAAAATATAACTGACATATGCACTAAATGCACAGAGGCTAAAGGAGCGCAGTTTATTTATCTTTGAGAGTGCAGAGCAATGAAGAGATCACAGCGATGCTAGAAAATGATTTCAAAAGAAATTCCATAAAACTCCAAAGTTATTGGTTCTTATATCCAGAAAAACTTAATTGTGTGTAATAAAAATAAACAAACATTACTATTGCTCATTATCTAAGCATTGTTTTGGGAGGCGAAAACACCCCATTGGATAGAAAGTTGTACGCTGGAGAAGAAAAATGGTGTCAGACCTAAAAGAATGAATAATGTCTACAGTGAGATGGTTTGAGGACTCCTTTATTTAAAATTTTGTAAAAGACATAGATATATATATAAAAAAAAACTTTAACTAAACATCAAGTGTGTAGTTTGCTGCATGTTTTTTTCTTCATGTAAATTTGAACATTTTGATTTGTGTATTTGTATTTTTGCATATGTTTGTTGGTTTGATGTTTTGTTGTAGTTTGTCAAAAATATGAAAAAGAGTATTGGTAAGGTAACAGTGGGACAATAATCTATATATCAGGTATAATTGAATGTTTTTCTATATTCAGTCAGGCTGTAACAGCTGATCGTGGTCCTTGATCGTGTCCCTCTATGTCATTGTAAATGACATCATCGTGCTTTTCCTGACACGCCTGCATTACTTGCAGAACTTTTGCAAGGCGCCGGTCCAACGCGGACAGATGTGGTTCTGAGAGGAGAGGGGCCACTCGTGACAAAGGATCCTGAGTCAGCGATTCCCGCATGATGTCGCTCAGTCGGAAATCAGGAAGAGACAGCAGACGCAAGCGGAGGAAGGTGGAGCGACGGATCCTGTGGAGATAAGTCGTGTAAGGGGATGGAGAAGATTTTGGAAAAGGAAAAAAGAAACTGGGAAAGAAAGATATTTGAACTAAAGCATCTAATTTTAAAATCTTTTAACCGTATGCACCATGTCGTTTCCACCTTTGGTCGTCTTTTGATCATTTATTAATAAAAGAAGTAGTTTGATGCTATGTTGTGGGATCATGTAATATTATTTACACCTCTGCTGACTCAGGTACAAATCCTGTTCCCAAACAATTTGTTGTTTTAACCTTTTAGCCGTGTTACACTGAGATTATGTAAATGTATTCTAACAAACTAGATAAAATGAACACTAGCTAATGTAATGTTAATTGCCCACTTACCATTTAATAGCTTGATTACCCATAGAGCTACAGCAGCTAACATTATTACTGTGGTCAAAGCAATCACATTAAAATTCCTTTATGAGTTTTTTTAATGTTGTTGTAGTATTTCTGTATTAAACAGCTCGGGAAATGCCATAAACAACTATGAGATTTTACCAAAAATATCATATCTTAAAGGCCTTGTAGGAATTTAATACAAATGTAGGGTGTACGTATGTTTGGCAACTAAAGTCACAGCCATAACAGCAGACAAAGCCTCAGAAACAGAAGCTGCTGCTTTAAGCTCGCAGCCTCTGAGTGCTGTACACCTGCTTTCATTTCAAGGTGGGTGTCCAACATTTGCAGCCTGTAGTTTCATTACACAATACTCTTCCTCTGCATGATATGTTATGGCCAGAAAATACCTTTTAGCAGAATCTCATCATGCCACAGTGACCTTTGACCTCTGCATTTTCGTCTTCTTCTATTAAACATTCATGAGGCACATTTTGTGAGGTTACAGGCTTGAAGAATTTCCTTAAGCTGAGGCGTAAAGGACATTAGATTGATGAGAATTTGACGTATGAGAGGTTGACTCATAGTAACTTTAACTTTGGGGACCAAAATCCAATCATGTCATCTTAAATTTGAAAATAGTCTCTCAGGCTGTTTCTGAGGTATCGAGATCATGAGAATGGTGTGATGTGAGGATAATATAAATCCATCAGGCAACAAGTGGCATTAGCTTAGTTGTTTTTAGGTATCTTACTACAGAAATGTTACTAATTTGATGCACTTCTTCGCTAGAGTTAAGAATTTCTACCACACCTTGTGGGTTTATGCACATTTGAAAACTTGACACTGACTCTTTTCTTACACCTGTCCTCCTGTCCTTCATTTTTCAGCGCACAGATCAGTAAGCACACATCTTTTGTCTGGTTTTACCTGCAACACTGCTGCAATGGAGCTAGAATGGACGGCTCATCTTGAGAGTGACGCCCAAACCTAAAAAATAAAAACAAAAAAAAAGCCAGGATCAAAAACATTTAATGACGAAAAACTAACCTGACACCTGAGGAAGAAATGAAGTGTAACACGAGATAAGAAGGATTAAAGTTTTGGTACTCACGCCCGTCCGTTATCAAGGTGCAGAAGAAAAGTGTTGTTGCCAAATTGCTCAAACGTCTCATAGTGATGTCGGTCCATGTTGCCTTCAGATGGAAAACAATCAAATATCACTTAAGGTTCATGACACTGTTAAAAATACTCTTTAAAAAGCTCTTAATTCAACTGTAGGGAACATCACACTGCTACTTTACTGATTCACTCATTTTATAGTTTGTTAAAATTCCTTAGGAAAAAAAGAAAATAAGGAGTGTTATACAGATGAGTGACTCCTATCAACCAGCAAACAAGTGGTCTAACTGACTCATGAGGAAGTCCAGGACAGCCATATCTATGAGATCCACCAGTCTAGTTCCTTGATTGTAAGGAGATGTCTGCTTCACTGTATCACAGTAAGCTGGGTCTTTTTCCCACCTGGGAACAAAAGAACAGAGACACTCAGACAGACAAAGGAAAACAGATCATGGCCTCCCTGTTAACAGTTTTTATTGTTTCCCTTCATATTTTTCTGCTTTTGGGGTTCGAGTTAGTGCAGTTCACCTTTGCTGTCACCTCATTTTTTAGTTTAGGTTAACTCAGATGTTTGAATTCAAAACTTTATCATTAAAAATAATGCAGATTCTGGATATAGTGCCTATTTGTTTTAAGATTGTTTACATCTTGCAAGTCTTTACAGATACCACTAGAGGGCAGCAAACACCCACAATTCTCTAAACGCTTTAGACCAGGAACGTCAAACTCGTTTAACATCATGGGCCACATGCAGCCGGCTTTGATCTTAAGTAAGGTGGACCAGTGAAACTCCCCAGTGCAAAGTAGCTTAACTGCACATTTAATCCCTGAGACATCTCAATATAAGAAAAAGAAGTGCAATGTCTCAGTATTTCTACGTGATAAAGAAATGCTGAAACAAGTCAGCACAACTCTTTGGGCCTAAATTGTAAAAACAAAAATGTGTAAAATTCCACAACATTCTGGTAACTCATCGCCCAGACTGTCCTGTAATTATTAACAGAAAATGTCACTTTTATTTTTACTTTTATTTTTGTTTTTTAATGTGGTTACATTGTAAAAAAAAATAATAATTCTATAGCAATAGTGAAAAAACAGCAACTTTCTTCTCATGTTTCTTAATTTTTTTATCTGTTACATTATTTTTGTAGTATGAGATGTTTATCAGCAGAACAAGCTATAAAATTTATGAAAATACCATTAAAAGTCCAAAATGTATGCAGGGCCAGTTCTGGCCCAAGGGCCTTATGTTTCACACCCCTGCTCTAAATCTAGATCTTTATTTACACTCTGTGGCACACACTTATCAAAAGTTCCATGAGAGCTGCTTAATAGACAGTATTTTACTAATACCTAAAATACACGCAGGAACTGTTTCTATTATCTTGTACTGGCTGTATTAGATTGTAAGCAATATTACTACAAGGTTAGTAATCATCCTTCCATTGAGCTGGGGTTCAGATTGTTTAAAAGAAAGACACTGTGATCATTAGAAGTGACTCATTAACAAAGCATTCCAATATTTTTAGCTTTAAAAAGAAAAACCATTAACAGACGACATCCAACGAAACTCCTAGACTCCTAAAAGTCTTGTTTCAAGACAGGCCACTCAATATAATGTCATCAATCCATCCATCCATCCATCCATCCCCACTTACACAATTCAGGGTCTTGGGGGGACTGGATGCTAGCCCAGCTGCAATAAGGTGAGAGGTGGTGTACACCCACAGAGAGACAGACAGCCTTTCTCACATTCACAGCTATGGACAATTTAAAATCACCAATTAGCCTAATATCACTAAATATATAATTCCATTCGGGCATTTTCCCGCTCACAGTTAGGACGTTTCTAAACATGTACTCTGTTCAGTTGTATTAAACTACAGTCTGTATGTTAGTCAGAGGTATGATCAGTGAACCCACTGTGCAAGCTTGGTGCGGCTGTAAGACCGCCTCCATGGGGACCTCCAGGACCTGCGAGGGGCAATGGTGAGGTCAGGCAGCATGGTAGCCAGGGAAACCTCCAGCATATGTGGCTGACCGCACACCGGGTGCTCCACTGAGCAGTAGTATTCACACTGCCCATAGAAACACACGTTCCCAGCTAGAGAGACAGCCATATATTAAAAATAAAGATTTTAGCAGAATTCAGTCCAGTAGTTCGTTTTTGTTAAATAAACTGAGTGCTGGCGTGAGCCAACACTTACCCACATGCACCTGCACACATACCAGGGGAAGTGAAGAAGGTCTTAGACAGCCTGCGGTCGGTGGTAATCTCTTTGATCTCTGTGGTAACATTGATGAGCCGTCCAACCACTGGAGGGATTCTGTTAAAGCCCAGCAATCTGAGAAGGAGGAAGATACAGAGCGAGATGAAGAGACGGAGCGCGTACAAAGAAAATACATTTAAAAAGGGAACACAATGTGTCAGCAAGAGCACAGGACGTGTTTTCTTTTTTTAATCTTTATTTGTGTGCAGCATTAACGTCCTGTTTACTGGAACACCATCATCACATTCACGCATTGCACTGTCACACCAGAAAGCTGCCCAGCGCTACGACCCTCTGACCTCCTGGAAACTCCACATGTACACCAGGATCAAGACCTTGCTCAAGGGCACGACAGTGGGGTTAGTAACCACAGAAGAAGTGCTGCTTTTTCTCTTTACTTATCCAGGAAAGTGCAAGAATGAAACACTTGGTCAGGTTTTATTCTTCAGCTACCACTGAGTGCTATTAAAACCTTTTCACACTTCTACACCCTGCGACATCTTCATGAACAAAACACTCAAGTGCCTGAAGTGTCACCTGTTGTGCGCCTGCCCTCAAGGACGCCTGCTACCTGCCGATCGGATGTGTAATGACGCGTACCTGTCAAGGTGAAAGGCAGCGATCTCGCCGTTGTGTCTTTCGAAGTCGGAGAAGTAAAAGAGGTTTACATCAGTCTCTGCATGTCTGGATTGCCTGTGCAACAAACAAAAGCGAGCACATAAACACGCTGCTATAAGCGCATCTTGTCATTTACTAGTCGGCATCACAAAACACGGCAACAGGATGAATGTTTCTCAGACCGCTGCATTGCACCGGTGTCTTACTTCATGGGTTTGAGCAGAGCTTGTCCATAATTTGGGAACGATATGAGCAGTTTCAGTTGGGTGCCTCCTTTCTTTTGAACTAAAAGATACAAAGAGGATAGATATCGGGAGCACGGCATTAATACAAAGGCAGATCGTTGCTTACACAAGCACTCTTTATGATATTGATCAGCCACTGATAAGAAACGCATCACAGAGATGCATACAATTTAGATTCACTGCAGTGCATTACATCAGTTCCTCCACATGGTGGCCTGTTTTGTAGTCGGAGCACCAACTGCCACCTCCATTTTGAGCGTTACTCCAACAAAACATGTATAAAATCGATTTATCTTAGTGCTGAGGCCCAATATTATGCATCATTATTTTTAATTCTAATGCTTATGTTATTCTTGTAAAGCCTTTGCATATTTATGATACCTTAAAACATTCCCTGCTGCTTCTAAACAAGCAGATTAGTGTATCATTTACATGCTTTGCCAGTAACGTCACCCCGTTTTACCTTTACAGAGGTCTGCATCGGACGGTTTCGATTTTTTTTTCTCCCCCATTCTTTCATCCCATCAAACCTGACCCACTTTATCCACACTTCAGACAACTGGGCAATGTGAAGCATGTGTTTATTCTCTTTCAAGTGAACTAGTTCAAATCAAGGTTTCGGAAAAAGAAACAGCCTTTATTTGCTGCAGACCACGGCTCTGTGAGGAAATCCTGTAAATGAATAGAAAGAAATTGTTCATATAAACCAAGCCGTGCCACATTTTGATCCATAATTCGTATTTCTGATTCTGAATATGTACCCATATTTACACAAGATATAGGTACATGCAGGAATGAGAGCTAAATGTGGGGGAAAAGGGATGACACAGTGAGAAAATTAGCCTGTAGCCGAGATTAGTGCTTAATCTGCACCGTATAACACAAATCTCAATGCATTATTCATTCTGCAGCATGCTGAGGATGGGTTTGCCTGTCTAAGAGAACCAAACACAAAATGAACATGTAGACATAAGCATATGTTGATGCAAAGGAAGGTGCATGAATATTTTATGCTTAGATTTTTTGCTTATGGATAGTACATGTACATCCAGTCTTTATGTAGGCACTTGTGCATAGTGGTGGGCCAGCTTGCATGGGATTTTATAGCCTTGTTCAGTTATGCACCCTTTCCATTTATCTAAGAGTTTCTCAACAGATATTAATAGTAGGTAGGATCTAAAAACATCTCTTTTAAAGTGGCACAAGTCTGAATGCCTGCAGTTACATTTATGGAGAAGCATGCGAGAGAATATAACAGTCTATGTCTCCCATGTACATGTGAGCTGCACAGTTTGCTGTTTTGTTTTTATGAATGTCTGAATATCTACATACTGGCACTTTTGTATCTCAATTCTAATTCTCGTTTATAATAAAATTAAGACAGTAATCCGCAGTGCATTTTGCTATATGTGAGGCGGTGCATCATACAGCCACACACACACAAAGATCCAGTTGGTCCCTCCCAAGTTTAATTATGCTTGGTTTCATATTTGAACATGCTAGTCCCTTTTTAGCATTATTTTTCAGCATGCAGTGTATACCCCGCTAATGATATGGAAAAGGTTTTAATCCATTATCTGTTTTGGGTTTGATGTCTAAAGCCAATCAACGGCAAGTGAAATTGAAAATAAAATACACGAAGCATCAACAGGGAAACCACAGTTATATCGATAAAGGATTTTCAAGACTGATACTAAGACCAATATGTGGTGGCTTATAAATCTGATGATTTATTTTACTTTCAGACACACAAAACAGAAAAAAGATTTCCCGAAATTTGTTTTTGTAGTCATGTATGAGTCCTTACTAAGACAATGGCAAAGCTGTTTGGAAATTGTCCAGTTTTATCATCTCAAGAAATAGTGGATTACTTAGCTGTAAAAGAGGTGTGTTTGGAGGAGTAAATTTGAGGCTTTCAAACATAAGGCCACTGTAGCAATTATCAAGCATGGTGGTGGTAGCATCAAGCTTTGGGGCGTTTTAGCTGCCAGTGGTACAAAGTGGACAGAATCATGAAGGACTACCTCCAAAATCTTCAGCTTCACCTTAAATCAACGTCTGGTGGTTGAAACTTGGACACAACTGGGTGTTCCAACATGATAGTGATCCCAAACACACATGGAATGGCTTTCTTAAAGCCCTGACCTCAACTCTATTGAAAATTTGTAGACTATGTTTAAAAGCCTGGTCCATGCCAGGAAACCAACCAATTTAAATGAAACCACCTCCACCAATCCTGCTGAGAAAGTGGTCAAATATTCAGCCAGATTTATGCCAGAAGTTTGTTGATCACTGAAAAAAGCTTCTGGTTGATGTGCAAGTCAGTAAGGGACATTTAACCAAACAGTGAGGGTGTATATACAACTCTAAGCCTGTACTGCATGTATACTTTTATATTTGAAATCCTAATTAAATTCAAATTCTTGTTTTTTAAAGTTATTAAAGAAGTATGCTGTGCAAATATTAGACCCTGGAAAAAGAATAGTTGAAAGAAGTCATTAAAAACCCCAAATTACCATGACGTTTATGGTCATGTTGATTAGGTATAAACTTTTGACTATAATCTGTGGTGTATAGGAAACTTATACTGACAGGTTGAGATTAGGGGTGAGTTTTTATAATCGATTTATCGATTATACTTACATACTATACTTCCGAAAAGAAAACCCAATTTCTGCCGTTCAATGCTGAACAAATTTAAACTTTTTAAAATTATGCAAAATGCAAAAGGCTTAGCCGTGTCTCTAATAAAACCGCTGCAACTTCAGAGGTCATGTTCATGTGTTGATTAATGGTTTTCTTTCGTTTTTGATGTACTGCAGAATATTTTTATAAAATCCCAGGCCAGGAAAATCGCCTTCATGTTTTTCTGTGTTTTATCTTCAGCTACTTTGACACAAAGGCATCTGCTGTGATGCTTACACCTTTGATAAAGTCTTGCGTGTGTCAGCTTCCTTTTTATAGATACAAAAATATGTAAATGTACTGATCTGAATTATAATATTTCAGACTGTCTGAGGAAAAATTTCCCCATCGAATCGTGGATCGAATCGATTCTGGACCTTGTGAATCGGAATTGAATCGATTCTAGAAATCAGTGACGATACCCAGCCCTAGTTGAGATATCTGAATATCTGAATAACTTCTATACACTGGCCTTCTGTTTAATAATAATTCTACTTGCATGTTATTCCATAGTTTGTTTGTTCCAGAGCATGTATGCAGTTCTTCTTGGGCCTGTAAGAAATCTATATACCTTCACACAGCCACCTTCCTCATCCTCTCACTTTGTATCCACAAGAAGTTGTGAGTTATATAACAGTATACCTAATCCTCCTGGGTTTGCTCTTTCATTCTCTCTAAATGTGTTTTGTCGTTTTATTTGCATACATCAGTTTGTGCCTTTATAATCCCATATATGTGTCTTGTTTCCCCAAAGACAATGCTCACTGCTGTAAATATGAGTTTTGGCACACTTTATTATATTCACTCAGTGAATACTCAGTCTTGCCTACGGCTCTCTTACAGATTAGTTTGTTTGTAATAACGGATCAGTTAAAATGAGAAAGCAGCAGGGTTGTGACTTTGTAGCTGCTCAGAGGAATCCAAATGAACATAAAAAAGAATTTACCACAAGTTCAAAATGCAAGGTAATGACAAAGTCATTTTTTAAGTAAAGAAAACTTGCTGTTTTAAACTATGCAGTCCTTAGAAGTCCCTCTTTTGGTCACCCTAAAAGCAGTAGATATTACAGACGGATGTTTTGGCAGAATATTTATGAAGGGCTATGGCCTGAGCAGGTTTCCTAATTGACTCTCCTCATCGTGGCATTGCAAAACAACCTAAGTCTCATTTCAGGATGTAGTTTGTGGGAGTAGCAAGATAAAAAAGGAGGTTCATTAAGAAAATTGTACCTCCCCCCCCTCCTCTGATCTTTCTGTGTCTGGCACATTTCCCAGGCCCTGTCCTTTCCTTCCAGTCTCTTTGGCCTGTTAACCCTGCCTACCTCCCTTATGTGCTCACCTGCGCCAAGGATACGCTGTGTTGCCAAATAGTGAGTCAGCTGAGCTAGGTTGGGGTCTTTCCTGTTGTACAGCTCCCGGCGAGAGATGCCCAGGTGGAACCGCAGCCAGGGAGGGTGGGTCTCCACATCAGTTGTCCATGTGACTTTGTCATAGCCTTCCTCGTGACTGTTGCTTTGCCTTCAGGAGAGTATGTAGACATAATACTATAACACCAGCAGAACTGTTTAGTCATGAACAGAAATTCAGATATGAAACAAACTGCAGTTTTAAAATAAGTTAAAAGTCTAAACACACCAATTCTGTGGAAAGTTGAGCAACACAGTGATATAAAAAAAAGAGTTTCGATTGCATAATATTCATTTGGCAGCATGAAGTGACACAAGCCTCATAGCGAGGAAATAATGGGATGCTGCATTCCTTTAATAATTATTTCTGAGCATGAAAGTGTGTTTCAAATGTAATCTGTTGTATAGTCTATTCCAGTTTAAAGACAGTCATGTTTCTGTGGCAGAGTGAAACTATATACCGACGGTATGCTAACATGCTTATAGAACAACATCATGTGAAATAGAAAAGTACATCCTCTTTCAATTCTAAGGTTTTACATATCAGGATTTATTGAATAAACATGAATTCCTTACCAGGTTCTACAACTATTTAAACTTGACATTAACAACAAC